GGTGCAGAGTCTCAGAGCCATAAAATCAATTGCAGTATTGCAGGAACAACAAGTTTAAAAAACTGATGAAAGTAAGGAAGCTTACTCATGTCCAAAGAGCCAACTTTGATTGCTGACCCCTAATCAGATGAGATGCAAAGAAGATGGGAAGGCTGAAGGAATCCATATTCACTGCCCCGACTAGGTAATCATTATGTCCTGCCCTACTGTAACTGCTGACACTAAAGCCAGAGGCTAGGGGACACTATTAAACCCCATAGTCTAAAGAACTGTGGCATCATTACAGACACCAAAAGCCAAAGTTTGTTGTTGCCACCTCCTAAAAGCCTAGCAGTCTTTGGCCTGCAGCTACAAACTCAGAATGTCCCTGGCACCCACTTGCTGCAGTTGTGAATATGACTCTAACCTTGGCTCTAACCTTGGCTGCCCTCAGAAATGTGGCTTGATAGCAGTCCTGTGCTCAGGTCACTGCTGCTGCAATACATCTCTGCTCAGAATGTATCACTTCCTTACAGTGTTTAGAAGGTGGCTTATTTTCTCTGTGGTATACTAAGCTAAGGACATTCTGAATCAAAATTGTCCTAGGTTCTATGAAGACATAAGAACAGCCACGTCCCCAACACAAGTTGATTCTAGAATGTCTTGGTCAGGTATGTTGGTTTGGACAGCTGTTTTCTTCCCAGTCCTTGGGTGCCAGGCTTATCTATTGGTACACCATCATGGTAAATTTTGTCTCAGATAAACTCTATACTAATAACTTCATCTCCTTTTTTTAAGAGATTTATTTATTTATTAGAGAGAGAGAGAGAGCACTGGAGGGAGGGGCAGAGGAAGAGAGAGAGAGAGAGAGAGTCTCTAATAGACTCAGCTGAGTACGGAGCCAGACACAGGGCTTGATCTCACAATCCTGAGATCGTGACCGGAGCTGAAATCAAGAGTCAGATGTTTAACCAACTAAGCCACCCAGGCTTAGTCTTCATCTCTTTTTCTGCTTACCTTGAACAGAGCTACTTCAGGTGAACCTATATGATTTAATTCCTTTTCATTGAAAAGGTAAGGGTCTCGGTCCTTTTCTTCCTTAGAATGCCTCTATAATCTTATGTGAAATAATTTATTTTGCTTCTTACAACTTCCAAACTCTATATACAAGTGTGTGTGTCAGAATTAAGTTAAAGAGGTCATCCATACACTAAATATCCTTTTATAAAAGAGCTGATTTCTGTAAATCTCTAATGAACTACAAATTATTTTAAAAATAACTTGTGTGGTGTGTGTGTGTGTGTGTGTGTGTGTGTGTGTGTGTGCGTTTTAACACTGAAAAAGAGAGAGGAAGTCCGTTCAGGGTTCTTAGCTCTGGCTGCAGCACTAACTGCTGAGAGAGGAGGTCCGTTCAGGGTTCTTAGCTCTGGCTGCAGCACTAAGTGCTGTTGACTTTGGCTGACTCACGTAAAAATCTCCGCGCCTCACAAAAATGGAGGGGTGGAGCTACATAGTTGTTCTGGTTCCTTCCAGCTCCAGATAATTCTATAATTCTTTTTGATGACCTAAACATAATTTGTAGGCAAACACACCCTGGCGTGTTGTTCTGGAAGCTTCATTCCTGACCATTAGGTTCATTCTTGGTCATCAGCTTGATTTAGCCAACTCCTGATTACCCATTCACAGATGCTTGTGGATTATCCATGGGTGGTCTGGCTCTTCACAAGCAATAGATTAGATTGGGGGCTGCCCCAGGGCCCACCATAGGCCAGATTCACTCAAATACAGAGCCAGAACCATGCCAGTCTTGGCAGGATGGTGGAGCCCATGGCAAGGTACCTCCAGCAATGCTCCAGAACATTCATGTCCAACTGCTTAAAAGTGAGTTCCCAGGCACAAATTCCTATGGCAGCCTAACAAAAAGGAATCGAAAGAAGACAGAATGCTTCACCAAATTCCCCTAGGCCCTAGAGAGGAGCTGCTTTTTGAGACTGTCATAAGACTGAATGCAAGGGTGTAGCCCTTTCATAAAATTGCCCTGCACTGTTTGTGTTTTCCTGATGTATGGTGCTCATGTCGAATAAGAACTGAATCCAAGCCCTCACCCTCAGACACAACGTGAGTGTTTTGGGAGGTTCCAAACGTCTTTGGTTTGTTTTTAAATTTTAATAAGTTCAGTACTTCCTGGGTTTGGCCAGGCCAGACACACCACAGGACGTTTCCAGCCTGAAACCAGAAAGCGTGCAGGCACTCACAGAGGAGACTGATGCAGCGAGCTTTCCATCCCACTTGCCAGACCTAAAAGCATCTCGTGTGGTTAGCTGACTCGTGGTTGTACCTACCCAGAGCGCATAACATATGAAAAGAGATTTTATGGCTTAGCCATGTCTTAGGGCACTATGCGTGCGTTCACCTTCATATATCCGCTACCTCTCATCATATTTCTAGGAAGGAAGGAAGACTGGCCTTCTCATTAAGTAGATGAATGTGAACACTTCTTGACAGCAAGAACAATGTTTCCATGTTCCATTTACTATTAAAGAACTCCAATAGTAATTGCTGTTGATGAGGAGGAAATTGAGGCACTGACATTTTGAATAATCAGTTCAGGGCTGTGAGTCACCCATCCACAGTATTCAGTTCAGCAACGATGTAATTGAATGCTACTGCCCGAGTACCAAGATAATTATAGACACCGCGGAGGATTAGAAACTCATAAGATGTTAGGGCTTTGAGAACCAAGTGGTCATCCAGGAAACCACGACACAGTCTCTGGCCTCAAAGAGGTTACACTCCAGCGTGGAGACAATATCAGCTCCCATGGCAAATAAAAGGTGTAGGGCAGGTGCCTCCTATAGCCACGGACCGACATGTTTATTTCCCTTTGCAGCTAAGCTCATTTCCAGAGAAGTTTGTACTGGCACTCTCTGCTTTCTTACTTCTCAGCTCCTAGGAGGAGCACTCAAACCTTCTCACTGTTCAGTCCAAACGGGCACTTTATGTCTGCATCTGACTTGTCTGGTCTGCAGCATTTGACACTCTTAACAGCTTCCTCCTTCTGGAAACTCTCCACATATCCAATATTAAGTATATTGTCTCTCCTTTCTTCCTCACTGCCCACAATCCCCTAAACAAGTCTTCTTCCTGAATGTCCCATCTTGGTAAAGAACATCACCATCCACCCGATTAGTCCGATCCAGAAATGGCAGTAGGTGCAAGATTTGGGGGGGTGAGGGGGGTCACTCACTAGTTATTCCTTTTATTCACCCTCCTGCCTAAGCAGTCACAAAACCTTAGAGAATTTTCTTTATTAACATCGTATGGACCCCTTCTTCTGATTCTCAAAACTATTGGCCTTATCCTATGTCACCTGTATTATTGAAGAATCTATTATTAATCTGGTTCCTGACTTTTATTTATTTATTTTTTTTTTTAAGATTTTATTTATTTATTTGAGAGAGAGAATGAGATAGAGAGAGCATGAGAGGGGAAAGGGTCAGAGGGAGAAGCAGACTCCCTGCTGAGCAGGGAAGCCCGATGTGGGACTCGATCCCAGGACTCCAGGATCATGACCTGAGCCGAAGGCAGTCGGCTTCGAACTGAGCCACCCAGGCGCCCTGGTTCCTGACTTTTAGACTCATTCTCTGTCAATCCATCTTTCAGGCTGCTATCAACTTTACCTACCCCCCCCCCCAAAATAAATTGTAATCAAGCTACTTCCCCATTTAAATTTGACTCCACATTCCTGGAGGAGAAACTCCAAGTCCATGGTTATGACATGCAAGAGCATTCATGATCTGGCCCCAGTTGTGTCTTCGCCTTCAGCCAGCCCCCAGTCGTTCTCAATGACTTTGGTCCTGGGACAGCACGGACGCTCTTCCACACCTCTGCACCTTTGTTTGTCCCAGTCAAAACCCACTTACCTTTCTATTCTCAAGAATCCCTCTCTTTATTCTAATCCACTTTGTCCAAACCTCTCTCATAGCACTTACCAAGCTGTACAACTTTTACAAAGGCAAAGGTTTAAAACAAAGCAAAACAAAACAAAATAAAAACCAACCAGGCATGTTTGGAAAACTAAAAGTAGTTTCTCTCGGTTGAGCTCAGGGCCTTGGTGACCCTCAAAGTTATGGAACATGAAATGAAATTCACAGATTTTAATCAGGGTGGTTACTTGATCGGATTTGCATTTTAGAACCTGATTCCATTTGTGTGTAAGATGCATTGGAAAAACTCTGTAATTATTAGGGCCTGAAGTAGGGCGGGCAGTGTGGGTAAAAAAAGGATGAGGAATGATTCCAGAGGTATTTATACAGTAAAATCGGCAAGTCTGATGGATCAATTAAGTGAATTGGAGAATTGATCCATTGATTCAATAATTATTGAGGACTAAGCACTGCTGCAGTTTCTAGAAGTACAAAGAAATTATAAGACAATGTTCCCACTCTTAAGAAACCTATTATAGTGAAATACAAAGTAGGTCAGAAGTAGATTTAAATATAGATAAGAGTTTAGTAATGATAGTAGGATAAAGATTATATGATATGAAAAACGAAAGTATGATAAAGAGTTTAGTAATGATAAATGATAAAGATTGAATTCTTTAATATGTAGTTTTAGGACAATTGGCTGTTTGGGGAAAACAGATATAAAACTGTATTTTCCCATCAAATTCAGTTCCAAATAAATTGAATGTAAAATGTGAAATAATAAAAACAATAAAATAACCATCATTTAATATGTCTATAAATTTATGGCATTTAAACCTTCCTAAACAGAGCACCAAAAACATAAACCACACAATGAAGAGCAATGCATTTGACTATGTAAAATTGAACTCTATCACAAAAATATAGCAAAGACAAATAATTGCAGTATAAAGGTATATAAAGATTGAGTATGATATAGAAACTTCTGTTACAGTATTACACACTTGCTTTTGATTCGGCTTGTTCCAAAGGCTGTCAGGAGAAAAGCCTGAGGACCTGTCTGATTAAACACATATATAAAAGAGAACTATGGTGCTCACTTCGGCAGCACATACACTAAAGTTGACACGATACAGAGAAGATTAGCATGACCTCTGTGTAAGGATGACACACAAATTCCTGAAGCGTTCATATTTTTAGATGTGGAAGATGTTCCCTTCATCATGGAGTGAGGCCTTTGTCCCTACTCAGTTCTGAGACCTGATTTGAGATGCAACGCGCCAGCATTCCCACTCCCCAGCCAGGTTTGGAATAGGTTCTTTCTCTCAGGCTGTTGTGTCAAGTCACTAGGATGTGGAGAAAAACCAAAGGCAGGTTAAAAAAGAGAGAGAGAGAGAGAGAGAGAGAGAGAGAACCATGAATCTTTAATTGCTATTATGAGGGTGTTAATCGAGTACCCAAATAATGGTAACAGCTTTGTACCCAAGAACTCTGGAAATTCAGAGGCAGGGATTGGGGTACCTGATAATACTCCTCAAAGAAAGAAAAACAATTACTCAGGCCTAATAAAACATTTCTACTCCGAAGTTTTCCACTGATAGAATTTTGCCTCCTGAAACTCAGTTCCAGGAGCCAAGTAATTTCCATCCGTCCAGTAAGCAATTAATGAGAACCTGTTATGTTCTAAAGCACTGTAGCAGTCTTTGCTGCAGGAAGTACAATTATCTTCCTCCAAGAAGAGTAAGAGGATGCCTTTGCCCTCGAGCAATTCATGGACAAAGACTTAAAGAGGGGAAGAATCCTTACAATGCAATCTGTATTTTACTAATACTGAATGCATTTAAATTATTTCACGATGCCAGTCCTCCTTATGGAGGACACTGGAGAGAGAACATCTTCATTTAATGGCTACAGCACAAGCTTTCCTTTTCAGTTAGATGGAGCCCTGGTTTGTGGGTCAGCACGACACCTTCTAAAATGTCGCATTCTCTTTCTGTGATGTTTAAGAGGTGAGTGATGTGGATTAAAGAGAGGAAGAACGTGATGCTTATTAGTTTGAATGAGGTCATCAGAGTTACTCTGCAGGATCCTTATAGGAGCAGAACAGGGCCCACTACTGACCCATCCCAGATAAAATGATCTCAAAGGAGGCAGACATTTTGGTGAATGAATATACAAGAATGTCATCATGTTTGCCGCAAGTCTACTTTTATATGATAAACCCTAGAAATTCTGAATTTTGGCTTGAGAGCATTGAACATTTACTATGGCAAGAAGGCAATAAACATCTCCCTGTGAGCATCTCTTTGCCCCCCAAACTTCTCATCCCTAAGCCCACCCACGCCCTGCCAACTTCTGCTCCTGGGTTTCCATCTGCCAGATTGGACCGCTCCCCCATCTCGGATTTTCAAATGTCCTCCAAGTCTTCGTGTTTGGGGATGCTTCCCCCTGATTCTTTTTAAAAGGTTTCTCTGGGGCTGGATGAAATTAATATCCTGGCTTTAGGCACCCGCTGCCTTGCAGCTCGTTCACCTCCGCCCGGCCTCACACTCACCCCGCCCCATTCCCGGTCCACCACAGAATCTCCAAGATGATGTTCTGCAAACACATATTTTGAAACTTTCCTCTTTTTTCCCCCCTCATTCAAATGTTCCCTCAGTATTTACCTCTTTCCAAGACTAACTCTCAGAGTTCTGGGTAAAGTGAAGCAAAACAAAACTAAACAAAAACCAACCATTCAGGGACCTACTACAGATCTACCAAACTAGGAAAGGGGTCCAGACTCCAGCTCCTTTCTTAATTGGCCTCATGACCAAAAGCTGTGCAGGGACCTGTAAACAGCAATTCGGAACACATACTGGGCTTCCTTCTCCATTATCTTCCCACCCCCTTCCAAATCGGAGGTAAGCTAAGGACACAGATTCTGGGATGCTTGTGGGTTCCTTCTGACCCTCGGTGATTATTAAACAGCACATTTGGGTTAGGGTTTTTTCCTCTGCATTGTGGTTTCTGTGATTAAGTGATGTGCTACACAATGTTCTTGCAACTCCAGCTGCCTAACATATTTTTACTATTTCTGCATATTCATTTTTTATTTTTCTACAAAAAAAATAAAAGGAGGTATTTGAAAATTAGATAGAGATTTGTTCCTCCCTCCTTTTTAAAGATTTGACAAAATCTTTAGCAGTGCACAATGGGCTATTGTTCTCAAAGATCAGTACTTTTGTAAGTAAACAAAAGGAAGCTCTTTCTTCCGCAAAGTCACCCTCTGCCCACTCTACCAGGGAATTAGGCAGAGTTACTAAAGTTTGCACGGGTTTGCTGACTGGCAAACAGGGGGAGAAAGGAGAGGGAAGAAGGGGAGGAGGAAATGGAGAATGAGGAAAAGAAGAAGGGAGAGAAAAAAAAGAAGCAAGAAGGAGAAGATAAGAAAGCAGTTGTGTATTCAGTGAGCCTGAGTTAGTCTAAGATCTTCCTTCACTTGTTGGCCCCTGGATCACAAAGATGGTCAATTTCCCATCTTGCTCTGAGCCACATTATTGCTTCCCATTATAGCTACTTCTTTTGTATCGGGGATTAAAAAAAAAAACAAAAAAACAAAAAACGGTGATGCTGAATCTTTTGACGTTGAGCTTTGCAAAACAATAAAAGATACGACTAGAACATTTTTTTTCCACAACAGTTAATTTGTATGGTTCCCAGCACAATTTAAAAGTGGTTTAGTTTCAAAAGGGTAAATGTTCAAATGAGCACGTCCTATTCAAAATAGTCTTAAAAATATACAGAACCGATTATAAGAAAAAGACCTCCTCAAGGTGGTATATTTTGCTTGAACGGGGAAACAAAATCGAGCATGGCCTCACTCTGTTGGCTTTGTTTTTCCGAGGTTATTGAAGAAAAGAGAGGTTTGCCAAAACTAAACAAAACACAGAACCATTTCTTTGAACCTGAGAACTCTCCAGTGCCCAAACATGATTAAAAACCATCTTGGTTAAGCCCCTTTGATCGGCCTGCCTGTCATAAAACCTGTTCTGAGTCCCTGGCAATCACGGTCTTATCTGTGTGGTCCTTTTCTTTCGAGAACTTTCATCATGATATTGTCCTGCTGGAGTGCAACTAATTGCTTACGGAAGATGTGGTAGAGAGAGCTCAATGCCCATGGAGAACGATGCCACTGGTGTACCCACACCGCCCGGCAAACCCGAGCAAATGTGCCTTCTCATCTCTCCACAAAAGAGACTTTCTGAGAAGAGAAAGGGAAAGAACTGAAAGGAAGTTAAGCGAGTAACTTCAGGACCGCACGGAGAAATATGCAGACAAATGCTTGGCGTTTTTGGAGTTTTCTTTATTAAAGACTCTAATTGAATTTCATTGACTGAAGTTGAAAGCCATGTCTAGAGCACACTGTAGATCTGTTACTTTCCCATACTATTTATATGTCTATGAAGTAGATCATTGTAATGAATACAAATGGGCAATAAGTACAAAGTTATTGCATAATTTTTCAAAATTTTATGATTGCTTTTCCTATTTCCTCCTAGAATAATGGCCCCTCTGTGTAGCCAGTAGACCATTCACTATATCTTCAGTATATTTTACCATTTCAGCAAGATTTTAATTTATTAGAGACATACTAGAAGTGGTATGTAAACAATCCACAGAATGAAACTGATTTGTAAGACATGGACAACCTGAACCAGTATTAAGTTACTTCTGAGATCACTTGGTGAGTGCAAATGCATATGTATTTTTCCTTCTTTTCCCCTCCCTGCCTGCTTCTTGATTTGGCAAAGATTGGGACTTGGGGACTGGAGGGAAAACCAAATTAAAGCCACCCACCAGCCCATAACAAACAGAACAGAAAACGTCAGTCTTACGATGGGATGTGTAACAAGATGGAAAGTTTCTCTATGGGTTTGCGTTTCTAAACCAGACTTCGGCGAGGGTTCAAAGCTGCCTGCTCTGAGTAAACAAACACAACTTTACAAGATGAAGTAGGCTAATGGCTGCTCCAGCATCTGTGGGACTGCCTTGCATGGAAAAATGACTGACCTTTTATTTTGTTCTGCTCCTATTCCTTTTACTTTATTCCCCTTCTCTCCGAGAGCTCGAACTCCTTTTTAGATATGAGCGCAATCAGAAAAGTTGTCCGATGTGACAGTTCCAGGATCTCCTGAGCCTATGTCAGTGGCCATTCTTTGTTGTGTCATGTCCAGGATTGTGGTCTTTGCCTCTCTGGCTCTTACCTCCAGTTTATGGTTCCAGTTGGCTTTGAACTCACAGCTGAAGTGACTTTGACCAGCTATATGTTCGCTGCTCTGGACCCGAGCACAATGGATGGAGGTTCCATGTACTTTGGAAGCACCTCAGAGGAAGTGATCCACTCTGCCTGAGAGCGCAGGAAAAGCCTTTTCATGGAGGAACAACAGGACACTGGTGCTTGCAGAACTAGTTGAGACTGCAGAAACCAGAAGCTAGGAGAGCATATTGACGAACAAGCATATGTTTGCTATGAATCATCATATAGACAGAGCTTGAAAGGGTGTGTGTGCTTTGATGGAGATACCTATTTTCTGTGAACTTACAGTCTTACAATTTTAAATATGAATATTTGCATAAAAGAGAATAAAGCATGGAAAGCTCGAATTCATTGTAGGAAATGTGTGATGTGGATATTTCTCTTGGTTTGAAGAGAACAGTTTAAATCTATATTGAAAAGAATTAAAAATTTTAATGTAAAAAGCTTTTCTAATATAGATTTAAAACTAGTAAGGATACACTGAAGACTAGGCACACCAGCAGTCATTGGGCCCGTGAAGTAAAGCAGTACTCTTCAAGCCATTTTTCTCATAGACACCCTAAAAATATTTGGAAAAACCTTGTCCTCTGACATATTTTCAAGTTGACACCCAAAAAATTTCAAAATAAGTTTAAATAGTTGCAAAGATGTAATTTATAGGGCTCCTGGGTGGCACAATCGGTTAAGCACTGATTCTTGGTTCCAGCTCAGTCCTGATCTCAGGGTCCTGTGGTCGAGCCCCACGTGGGGTCCACACTCATCACAGAGTCTGCTAAAGCTTCTCTCTCCCTCCACCCCTCCCCTCTGCTCATGCATGTGCTCACGCTCTCTCTAAAATAAATAAACCTTTAAAAAATGTAATTTATGATAGTTTATAACACTGATGTTTCAGATGACTTT